TCTTCTGGGACAAATAATGTTCATTATTTCTCATCTTTGTAAAATCCTAGACAGGTTGCAAGAAAGGCAGCCTCACTTGTCAATCAAACTTGTATAAGTTACATATAGAAAACATTCTCCAGTACACTGTCACATTTGTAGAATTTATTCTCAGTGTAGCTTGTGAAAAGTCACTGAAAAAAATGCTGTGAATAATCTGAGACACGTAATAGCTACAGGTGCTTAAAAATGCACTAACGCTGTGTTGAAGATATGTTTCAGGATGTGGTGCAGATAAAGGAAAGGAGGGAGATGCTGGACTGAATATGGTCTGAGCAACCTTAACTTGGCTGCCCTGTGTGCATGCACCTCATTAAGAGCTTGTTAATGGTATAGTTGCATTTTTTTGTCAGGAGATCCCTGGTGGTTTGGGAGTGGGAACCCTGCAGAAGATGCTATTTGAGGAGTTAATGATCTTGAGCATACCATGTCTGTTCTGTTGCACCTTGTACTTAAGGCTTGAGAAGCCCCTATGTTCTTAATGCAATCTCTAATATCTTGGGGAATGGTAAATTGCATGTGGATCAAGGATTTGAAGTAATTATGCCACCTGTGTGGCTTCCTCTATCTAAAAATATAGGAAGAAGTTTTTCTCTGAACATCCTTTATGAATAGGTGTTTTCTTGTAAGAAAATCCTAGCTCAAATAACCAAAATGGAAGAATCTCTATTAACAGGGTCTGTCCAGCATGTTGCATGTGGATGGGAGGCCTGTTCAAAGCTGTCGCACCCAGAGTTCCCACCATCATTTATAATATTCTCTACTCATAGTGTTGCTCTAGTGAATAACATCTGAAAATATAGCTTACCGAGCCTGATTGCCTCTCTTACTGGCTTGTAATGGACTTGCACTACTTGGTGCAAAACAGAGGTTGTTTACCCTGTTGGCAAGTGAGCTAGCATTCATTTTCCAAACTTAAATGAAGGTGAGCAGGTATGCTCTATACCTACAAGGAACTGCAGCATATTTAAGAGAGATGTTATAAGCTTTCTCAGGAGGAGTTAAAACTCAACAATAAGAAGCCTTGCACTATCTCCGCATAAGAAGTGACTTAGAGCTCCGTCTAGGGGTAATGAAGCATCAGAACAATAGAGTATAATGCTGCACTGTGCCAGTGCACTCACTGCAGATTAAAGTCTGGGTTTGACACAGTAGACACTAAGGAGGGGAAAAAACTTGGGTTTCAGGAATGCAGGTCATGAATGACAGCAGCGAGCTGCTGCTTGAGCCTCAGTAACAACTTGTGCTCTTTCTTTCTGCTCATCTGCCCCAGCTGTCAAGCAAACAGTGTTGATTAAACCACCCTTTATGAGTATGGGAAATAAAATTACATTAGATTGTGTGAAAATGGTTAGAAACTTCATATTAAAGGTAAAGGAACTAGGCATGAAGTCTCAGTTGCTGAGTAATCATTCTGCTAGTGGCATGTACAAACTAGCCTGGAGACGGTTTATTCCTATTGTTATTTTACCATTTGAGTCTCAGAATGATTGGCAGTTAGGCTATCCCAGGAAAGGAAAGGTAAGGGAAAGGAAAAGTATCCCTGAAATGACTGATCCTGCAATGCAGTGGCTCCCACAGGAGCTCTCTCTGGGCATGTTGCCCTGTCACCACCTAACACTTCTTTTGAGAGCCTTTGAGCACTCTGTCACAGTAGAGACCTGTATCTTTTTGTAGTGTGTTTTGGTTGAATATGAGAGATGATTTCCTCATATTTTGGGAATGACTTCATTTAATGACTTAATTTAATGAAGTCATTCCCAAAAAATGGAATGACTTTTGGGAATGACTTCATTAATCCTTCAGAGGATTATCTTGCCCAGTGCATTCACTTTCCCACACATGGCAAAGCTCCAGCTGGGGGAGGAATGAAATCGTCTTGAGAAGCTGTAGCTTCTGATTTGAAATCTTCTAGTGCTCATTGTGAACAGTAGGTGGCCTTTTCTTCTGAGCCTCCCCATTTTCAATGTTGACTTAACCTGTGGTAGAACTATATTTAAAGATTGTTTGGACTCACTGGGCAAAACCTGTCAATTACTTGCTGCCATGTGGTCTCTTTCCATAGATATGTCAATATCTAGGTTTAGAGGAACTCATTTTCCAGTTATTGGTCTGGGATTATTTTATTTCTTCAGCACTTTCCAAGTATTGCTGGTGCCGCAGCAGCTTCAAAATCTCAAGCTGAGTAGTTCCCTATTTGCATCTCTTTCAAATTTTTTAGTGTGGCTACCTAGTATCAACAGAGGTTAGCTGTTGGCAAGCTGCTATAATTCCTATGCAAATCTTACTCATTTACAACTATATGTGAGAGGAAGCCCCAGGTAGTTTTCCATATCACCTGTGGTTATTTTGATAGCTGAGAAGTCAATATTCTCAAGCATGTCAGCTGTTGTACAGTATAGGACACAAAATTATTCTAGCAAGATAAAGAGTTCATTGCAAATCCCTTTCCACATATAAATTAATTTGTGCTGATTACTCCTTTTTGCTTTTGTGGCAAAAGTTGACCCCATTCTGTCTTCTTTTTATTGGAAGCACCAGATTGCCTGTTACTATTTTCGTAGTATTTGCATGAATTCTGCAGCTCTGTAATAGGAGTAGAGCAGCTGTAATACCCTGTCTGGTAGAAGCTTAAAATCACTGAAAATCAGTTGTGGTAAGACGTAATTCAGAAGACATGTCTTTCAAGTGTTAAAGTCCTGACAAAAGAAGTTTACACTTGATACATAACATCCAACTCTTGGGGTGCACTAATGGTGTCAAGACCTGCAGACATCTTGCAAAACCCATGCTTTTATGGCAGCGATAGTCCCTACATATACATATCACAAGCATGCAGTTAAACCAAAATGTGTAGCAAACAGTGAGTTTTCCTGTGTTATTGACATGTAACTTAAGCATGTGGTTTTTGTCACTTTGTATTTGCATTAGAAGGAAATGGTTTAGAAGCATACTGTGGTAAAAGGCAGGACGGCTGTGGTCTAACTGTCCTCAGCTTATCACCCACTCTCATCGCAGCCCACCTCCTCTGAACCAGTTGCGACTGGTTCAGCTTACAGGGTTTTTCCACTAAATAATCAAACCTTCCTGCAAACAAATGCCCCAGCATCCAGAAGCCTTAAACACCCGCTTGTTCTCTTATTCAGCCTAAATAAAAATTAAAAACTTAGTATGAACAGTATGTATCTGTATAAATAAACTTCAGGGACATGGAAGATGATGCAGATGTAAAACCTGCAACCTGTACTTGGGAATCTGTGAGGTGATAGCTGTGCTCAGCATGGTTGCATGTAGGCAGGGGGTTTTGTGCAAAAAGCTGTTTTCTCTCTCTTTTTCTGCGCTGTATGGACAGCATCTTTCAGTTTCGTGTACGAGACACAAGTTTATTTGGGGATCGTTTTAAGTGAAAGAGATCTTGGTTCATTAATGCAATCAAGTGTTTCTCTGGCAGGGATGAAGATAGGAAAGATAAGGACAGTGATATCAATGATGCTACTGAAATCTACAGTAACTGCATTCCAAAAATACCTTTGTACCTATATTATTTCACTTTGGTTGGGACAGAGCCTTAAGAAATAATAGCATGGGGTATTCGTTGTTTTTCAGAGAGTCTGACTGAAGAGTAAACATCACATCTTTTTTTGCATTGAAGAGTAATGTGACACTGAAGGTAGTAATTAGTTGTATGGCTTCAATATGCCGATTGTAAAATAACTTGTAAGATACACTGTTAGTAAAATAGCTGTGGTTGTTATAACTGCACCTGACTTACATTCTTCCCTTGCAATGGTGTGTGTGCTAGAATTCCTGTTGTAACAGCACTGCAGTTCCCCCTGGCATAGCTTAGCCCTTCAACAGAAAAGATGTTACGAGCTAGCTTTTATTGTTCTGTGTAGGAGCATTCCTGTTTAATACCTTGAAAAGCAGAAAACGGATGGGTTTAAGGCTCTTTCTTTGATTTCCTGAGGAATTTATACAAACAGAGAAACGAATCAAGTTTTCTAGCCATATTGGTACCTGTTGTGGAAACGCTGGAGAAGGAACACAAGCCTCACAAATACATCCAGAGGAAAGCTTTTATTGCCCTCTACATCCTTACGGTGAGTGTAAATGCTGCAGCCGCTTATCTCCAAACTTACGGCAGTGTTTTGCCCCAGACTGAGCAAATGCTTTACTCCAATGTGTCTACTTCTATTTTTTTCCACAGAAATTTGAAAAGAGCTGATTTGAGGAACTTGGAGCTGAAGAGTTCAAATTCCAACATCTGAGAATCTTTCTGCTATTGTGAAAATACATTATCTATCAAAGCTGGAGATTTAAGGGTTTGCTCAACTTACAAAGGTATCTTAAAACAAGATGATGTTCATGATCATTACAGTTGTTTTCTTTCTTTAAAAATAACAGTGTTCAGGTTTTCAGTCTGTGCCACAGACTGGTGTATGGCCTGGTGGATTTCTCCCATTTCTGCATGTGTGCACCTCAGAATTGCTTTATGCTCATCTAACTTCTTCAGTCAAAATTACTGTGTTCACTTTTTGCAATGGTGTTTAATTGAGTCTGAAAGCACACATTGCATCAGAATGTTTAAGTCCTGATTTGGTGGATACATGAGAGTTGCAGTAGGTCATTGAAAGTAAAAATGAACAACATCTGTGAATTTAGAGACAGGAATGCTCCTTAATTAAGCCTTAAGCTCAGTAACAAAATGCATCTCTGCTTTGTATACCAAAAGCCTGGTTACACCTCTAAACTTGTGTATTCATAACTACTTTTAACATGAGTTACCTGCCTATTGCATTATGGATTACCATCCATTTTGCAATATGGACTTTGGATTGAAATACTATGTATGTAACCTTAGTCCTATTGCTCACCTCAGTTCAAGACTCAAAGATTAGGAAAGCCAGACTGATATAAAACCAGAAGCAGGAAAGCAAAACAAGCCTTGTGCACTAATGCCATAAGATTATGTGGGGATTTTTGTTGTTGTTAAATCTTACACTGAGAGCAGGGGAGTCTATATGGATAAATATATAGCAAAGCAAATTGAAAATGATTTTGTTAGCCTTTCCAAAACAAGCATTTATGCTTTCTTTCCTTGGTGCTTGGTGACAGCCCACATTCTGTAGATGAAGAAGAGTACGATGAGATAGTACATGGAGCTCTTCAGAAGAAGGACGATGTACACTAAATACGCTGTCCTGTGTATAATGTGATCTGTAACAAACATAAGACAGGAAAGTCTTCTTTAATGTCAATATTGTACAACATCCTAAAAGATGGGTAGACCTGGGACTGTGGTCTGTTTACTGCTGCAATTATATTGATTCCAGTGGACAGTGTGAGAACACATAAAATTGTCTGACTGTCCTTTGAGCAGATTTGCACTAATAAGCTCTAGACTGAGCGGGTTTCTTATCACTAGACTTCCTCTCAATGCTGCTGGGTTATTATTCCCTGCAAATACAAGAACATAATTCTAGTGCTTCCAGCACTGATTACTGGTAGCACTGTGTTTGCCTGAATCCTGCTGTCTTGGATTTTTTGAACACAAGGACTAACAATTCTTTCTGAATCCCTGTTTAAGCTAAAGTCCAAAGTGTTGGGCAGTTGCTGGGCTGATGAAGCATCAGCTGAAGCATTGAACTTTTAACTGCTTCAGATAGATATTTAAAAAAGTGACACATAATGTGGGCTAATAATCTAGTAGCCGAACAGCATCTTTGCATCCTAATAAAGCTACCTAATAAAAGTAGGAGAGCCCATTCTTGTAGTCCACAACAGAAGTTACTTCAGAGTAGCACTGAAGTGTTTTTATGTATGTTGCAAGCCCCAGACTTAAAAGATTTCCTGTATGCTATTTAGAAAGATCCTTTTTGTGAGGTTCTGAGCAAATACAGCACTGTCTGACTTCTGTGCCATGGGTCACTTTCCCATGTTTTAACACATTTTAGTTACCTCTATTAAAAACTGTGCTGTTTCCAGATGTGTCGCAGTCCTCTTCCTGAGGAGCAGTCTTTGAAGAGAAGTCTATATCTTTCTCTGTGGAAAGAGATTTTAAATGCCACAATTAGGCTTTTCTTTACTTTTGACAAACATGAATTTGAGAAATAGGGAAAAAAAAGAGGCAGTAACATATTAACAGTGAAATTGGAAGTTTTAAACAGCAAAAGAGATGGTTAATATCTGTCTGCAGAGCAGATGTTCCTGAGTAGGATTCACATGCACTGAGAATCTGAAGGGAAGGTAATATGCGTAGAGAAGTGACTTGGGTATTTGTTACCATATGTGGAAAGTTTGCCCTTTCAGGAATGTGTCCCTTAAGCTGTTCCTTTGCAGAGTCTCTTTAGAACTGAATCCACCTGATCTTGTCACTGAAGTGGCTAGAGTCTGCCTTCACAATGTACTGTTATTAGTGAAGAATAATTTACATTGGAAGGGACCTCAATTAGTCTGTTACTTAATGGCTGCTCTACAGTAAGGAATAATCTTGAGGAGAGCGTGATCTGAGGTTCCCTTATTGGGAATTTGCTATTTTGGTGGTGCTTGTTCTTGAAAATAAACCCTTTCTGTGCTGGAAGCAGCAAATCTGTGTTTGTTCTTGGTTATGGTGTTCGTATGCATTTATATATGGTCTTAAAGGCATCTGTATTACATCTGTAAATACATCCTCCATCTAAATAAAGCATTTTTTTGTCAGAATATGTTTTGACCATTATTATAGCCATGTTCTCACTTACTGGAGTTACATTAATTTATAGGAAATTGAACAAAGGTAGGTACTGAGAAAAGATTAATTTAAACCAATATAGGCAGCTTTTAAAAAGATATTCCCATGATTTATACAATTTGCATTGATTACAGGTTACTTTTTTCTTTAAACTAGCATTGTCTTTCAGATTCTGCTTTGCATAATCTTTTCTCAGTTAAATGAGACATCTTATTTTCGGACATGGCTATAACATCGCCATTGCTGGACATTGAATAAGTAAAACATTTAAACTTCGTTCTACATCCCCAGCAACCTTGGTTTTAACTCTTATGTTTTTTATAGCTGTGGCTAATGTCACGGGGTGTCAGAGGGACTTACATCTCAGTCATGGGTTGAACAGAGAGGTAATACTGTTTTCAAAGACTTCTGTAGACAGGGAAGTAACTGACACAGCTCAGTGCAGAGCTTTTGGAGCTAATCTAGTTTTCACTTGATGAGGTTCAAGAACTGCTCTTTTCCTATTGCAGGGGGACATTCCATTGGGAAGCATAGCACAGGCTGGGTTGCTTTCCCTGGGAAAACGTGTATTTTAATGATTGCTGTGCAAATGAGCACAGATGCTTTCAGGAACAGTAATAGAAAGCATTATTTCTATAATTTTATTGCAAAGAAAAAGTGATCTCTATAATAATATATACAATGAAACTTTTGACATAACATTTTAGTATCTAGCTTTAACATATAACATTTAGTATATAACTTTCGACATTTTAGCATATACCTTGTGTCGGCAGTGAAAGCTCTTGGCTTTCGTGCTCGTATTTGCAGTAATATTTTTTGTCTTTGTTCTCCAGTGGTACAGTTAGCCAGCTGCCAATTGAGTATTCCTCATTTTTTGTGGCCTTCCAAGTGTCTCCTTTTACTACATTGTCTGTTACCTCCTCATTTTTTTCATTGGTCCATGTCACCCGAATAACTTCTGGGTAGAATTTCTCAACAAGGCAAACATATGTTATCTGATTTTCATGTTCCTTCTTCAGGATTTCAGAGTTTGCTGGTGGAGAATTTCCTTTGCCTGGGTTGGTTAGTGGAGGAACAGAGAGTTAGAAGATCAGTAGAGTACAGTAAACAAATATGCCACCGCAAAATACAGTTTTTAAAGAGCAGCAACCTAAAAGTCTTCTTGACAAATGTTCTGGCTCCCTAATTTGTTATTAAATACTTAGGATGGGAATAGAAAAGTCTTATATATGAAAGGAGTTTTAGGTAATAAGATGGATGAATTACAGCTCCTTCCGTCCTTGAAGTAAAAAAGTGTTTGGTGAGCTGAAGGAACCTGGCATTTGAACACAGTTTATAGTATATATTATTTCAGTAGACCCAAATGGTAAGTTTTAATTTTCAGTCAAAGCCAGTTACAGTACTATTTAGAATAATTGGAAATAGAAAGTATGACTTTTAGCCTTATTTTTAAATGAGTTATTTTATAGAGAATTAAAATGGAAAGCAGCTTTCATGAATATGGTACAGAAAATTAAACTCCAAATCAAAACCAAGACTCAGTCTAAGCTCATATTTATTTAGATAATCTAGAGTCTTATAGAGTCTGAGGGGTATTTGATCTGGAGAGTTTTGATATGTGCCATGTACATTTAAGTCCTAAATTATTTAGTGAACACCAATGTCTAGACTGCTTTGTTCATGCTTCTTGTCAAGCAGCACATCTGGTAGAGGAAGGCTGCAATAGACTAGATCTACTCTTTAATACTAGAGTAGATTAAAAAGTATGGTAAAAAGGTGCCTAGCTTAAATGAAACATTTCAATCATATCACAGTCCTGAGGAAGCATATGTCTTGAATAACTGCAACTGTGTGTATGCATGGAAGAGTCCCATGTACACACACAGGCAAATAGAAGACAGCGGAGAACTGGATAAATTAAGTTTTGCATATATACATGTATATATGTGTGTGTATGTGGAAAGAAAATCTCCATAAACTTTAGGTATGTTTATGGGAAAAAAAGAATGAAACCTTGTAGAATTGGCTGTAGACTTTGATGTATTTTCAGGTTGATCTATAAAATTGCGAAGTCCACAAGACAGTTTACACTATTGTAGTTTTATTCTGGGCAAATAGTCTGACTCTTTCTGAAGAATTTTAAAGTCATGAATTTCTGCTCCACCATTTTTCATTGCTTTAGTTAAACTTCCAAGAAATTTGCAGTTTAGTTTTTAAACAGTTTTCTAAGGCAGGTGTTAAGAGGTATATAGCCCTTTTATTATTTTAAAATAATATATACACACACATAGATATTTCTTAAGCTAAAATCTGTTTATTCTCTATTGTAAGAATGCCGTAAGTCTGCAAAACATAGTGCAAAGAAAATTCTGCAGTTAGGTTTGTAATCAATGAGCTATTAGTGAATTTGGGTTCAAAACATATGCTTTTTGTAGCTCAGTTATGAAGTTTTCTCAATAAAACTCCTCTACAGTTTCTCCATAAGCACATATGAATAAGATTTATAAATAAGGTCAGTGTGTTCTTAAGCTGAACTTTTCAGTACTTGAATAATCCACAAAACTGACTGATTTTTGACTGATACTTAAAGCTCCGCTGTTCCCCTTCAAGCCAGTGGGAGCCGAGAGCACGCAGCACACTCAGATTACAAACAGCGTTCTTGTCTTGCTTGCCAGCAACTTCAGGTATTATCGTTGATAATAACATAATGAGTCCTGACCTAATGGGACCTTCCCCAGATACTTTAAAGAGCTGTCAACCTTCTCTCCTAAGCTTTCCCAAGACAAAACTTAAAAAATAAGTCCTTGAAAATACTTACTGGAGATGATGAGTTTTGTTCCAGAGCCAAATGATTTGATTATGCCACACTGGTACACCCTCTTACAAAAACTGCCTGGGACATTTAGGTTGGACAAGGACCAGATTTAAGAACCATAATATGAATATTAAGAATTTATTCATTTGGCTACATTACTGTAGAAAAATAGAATTCAGTCTCAGCTAATGCTGCTATTCCCAAAGAGCCTTTAGTGATATGTACTTTAAATTCAGTTTCAAGCAAGTCTGTGCCATCATTTGTTTAAAAAAACATCAAAACAAGCCGAGTGTTGTTGCCTGGGGCAATGGCTGAGAAAGCATGTTTCCTTCAGGTTTAAGTGGATGCAGGATTGGGACTATTCAGCCTCAAATCCTGCTGTACTTGCCTACACAGTACTATTGCAGTTAGTGCCAAAAGGAAACATTACAGGTGCATCTATGTATACTGTAGAGAAGCATCAACTTCCATCATTCCTGTGCATGTCTTTCCCCAGAGCTTTCTGCCTTCTCCCCAGTGAAACTATGTGCACCTTACATGAAATCCTACCAATGCTGAAACTAATGGCAACATTTCCAAAGGTCCAGGTTTTCCCCTGAAATTTTCCACTGAAACCTGATTGTGCACACTGCCTTATAAGAATCAGCTACTGAATTCATCTTCGTGCCCATGAAATCCTTGGTATTTCAAAGCCATTAGAAAATGTTCTTATTAATATTAATCATGGTAAGAAGCTTTCGCTCTGCAGATTTCTTTTGAGTGGCCGCATCTTCCCTTTTATGTCTTAAACCTCCATCCTTCTGCCCTAACACTTGTTTGGACTTTCAAGTCTATTAGGTTTTAATTCAGGGCTTCATGTTTTTTTCCAGTTGAAAAAAAACACTAATGCAAACTAATGCGTTGATTAAACTTCATCATTTTGATTTAAAACAATAGGAAGTCAGTTTAATCCAACTTCAGGTAATGCATAAATAAATTTAAATGAAATCTATTTTAGGGAACGTATTTTTATAATAATATAATTACAAAAAGATAATTATAGCCTCTTGAATTCTGAACTTCAATACATTTGATGAAATTAAGGTAGATACTTCAGTAATGCTTAGGAGATGAACTGGGTTTGGAGAGCCTGATTCAGTTGTCAGTTCAGGCTCAGCTTGCCTGTTGCAACCTGGTGGGTGCCTAAATTGGGCAGAGAAGAGATTCAGAGCAGCCCTGCAGAGAAGGACTTGGGGGTGTTGGTTGATGAGAAAATGAACATGAGCCAGCTGCAGTGTGCGCTCACAGCCCAGAAAGCCAACCGTATCCTGGGCTGCATCAAAGGCAGCGTGACCAGCAGGTCAAAGGAGGTGATCCTGCCCCTCTGCTCTGCTCTTGTGAGACCTCACTTGGAGTATTGTGTGCAGTTCTGGTGTCCTCAACATAAAAAGGACATGGAACTGTTGGAACAAGTCCAGAGAAGGGCCACGAGGATGATCAGGGGACTGGAGCACCTCCTGTATGAAGACAGGCTGAGGAAGTTGGGGCTGTTCAGCCTGGAGAAGAAGCCTGTTCAGCATGGAGACCTCATAGCAGCCTTCCAGTATCTGAAGGGAGCCTGTAGGGATGCTGGGGAGGGACTCTTCATTAGGGACTGTAGTGATAGGACAAGGGGTAACAGGTTAAAACTTAAACAGGGGAAGTTTAGATTGGGTATAAGGAAGAAATTCTTTCCTGTTAGGGTGGTGAGGCACTGGAATGGGTTGCCCAGGGAAGTTGTGAATGCTCCATCACTGGCGGTGTTCAAGGTCAGGTTGGACAAAGCTTTACATTTGCATTTGTATTACTCTTGTGGTGAAGCTATGCAATCATCAGGATAAATGCTGTTTTCAGTATAAAGCACAGTATGATAGCACAGTAAAGCACTGGACAAAGCGGTGACATGGTTTAGTGTGAGGTGTCCCTGCGCATGGCAGGGGGCTTAGAACTGTATGATCTTAAGGTCCTTTCCAACCCTAACTATTCTATGATTCTGTGAAATTCCCTAGGAAGATACTTACAGAAGAATCCTGTATTTTGCCAGTCTGTGTTCTTAATTGATATTTCTGTTCTGCTATAAGCTTCAAAACCCTCATCTATTCCACCAAATGCAAATGCTAAACCTGTCTCTCAAATCCTAGCCCTTCTGTTAACTGCATTATCTCGTCTGGAGCAACTTTGTTTTGATCAGAACTAATTAAAGGAGACCAACAAGAACAAAATCAAGTTCACTACAAGTTGATGGGAGCTTAGCTCTTTCCGTATAGATACGTTAAAGATTCTGCTCAAGCTTAAAATCTGGTGGTTCAACTGAATTAAGGTCACTTATCCTAAATCCTCATTTTCTCAATTTCTTACCTTTAGGAGTAACTTAATGTTGGATGGTCACCCCGAAAAGCCAAGCTGTGATGAAATGCCTGATCTTAAGTGTGTAACTACAGCCCTTTTACTCTATTAATTGGCCAGAAGTTTCGGCCATATAAAGACAAAATCTGATAGAACTGGAGTGAAAATTACTTTAAACTGTAGATACTAAAAGCATGGCAACTACCTGGTTAACAAGGTGAGGATTTTCACTAAAAACGCTTATCCTGATACAGGTATTTCTGTTGAATTATAGTTATGATTTACTTAGTCTTTCTGACATAAATCATTAAAACCAATCTTTTCTTGACATGCTAATATAAATTTATATATGTATCTAACCAGGCTTGAAACATTTGGTAGCAATAGTTTTTCTGCTTTGTGGTTGTGCAGTTGTTTATTCCAGGATTATGGCATTTAAAGCACATTTAATGGGAAAAAGATTCTTGTCCTCCACTTCCCATTAAAATAAAAGTCTACTGGAAGAGCATAAAAAAGGACCACCTCTTCATGTGCACGTTTTTAAGGAATAAGAAGAGCCAAAGTGCTGTGGACCTGACAAAAATCATTACAAACAAGTTGTTTCACTTTTACTAGCCTAAAGGAATGAAGATTTTGGCAATAGCCATTGTGTATTGCTCTTTGTATCTGTATTGGGAAGGGGTTTTCTTCTTTTCTGCTTAATTCAGAGCTGCTTAATTCCCTGCTTAATCCTTCAGTAAAGCTGGGGGGAAGAGAGACATAGTCCTAAAGGAAAATGTTTTGCTTTTCAAAGAATTTGAGTAACCCAAAGGTTTGGCACTTTTCTGTCAGAATGAATTAGAAATCTCACAAAGTTTGAATGTGCATGTTTAAACACAAAACCATCTTTCAGTTCTCTGAATGCTGTCTTTGCCATATTTAAGCTTTAAAAGAAAATAATGATGGGGTTAATTACATATCTGTGCTGCAAGAGCTATTGTGTTTCACCCGTTCTATATATGAATAGAAAACCATTATGTTGTGTTTTGCATGTGGAAATGCTGTTCAAGAGGAAAATCCTGCAAAGCATTCAGTAGGGTTAAAACTAGCAGGAGCTGAAAAAGCAAAGCACTTCATGCAGTCAGTGTCTAACTGTACTGAAAAGCGTTTCAGAAGCAGTTAATTTTCACTTTTTGTACTTACTTGAAACAATAAGTTTAGTTCCACTTCCAAATATTTTGATATCGGCATCCCACAGTCTTACAGTGCTTAGCAATATCTCCTGCTCTGCATTTCCCTTGCACTGGCTACAGAAAATGTCTCTCTGATTTAGAGGTTGGTGATAGATTTGGCCCAGTGCGATGATAGCTTAATTTTCAACATCGACTAGAGTGCCAGTTTTAGAAATCCTTTGATTTTTTTTGTAGTGGGTGCTTATTTTATAACCATGTTCTAATCCTTTTGGGCTCCGGGGCTGCTCTAAGAAAGAGCTCTTGTCTCCGGCCTGCTAGGTTTTCTGTGAAGAAACCTCTTTTTGCTGTTTTAAGAAGAAATGTGGCCACATTGTGACTCCCAAAGGAAATTAAGGAAGTGTACTACTTGTTGATTTAAATATACAGGTAAGCATTTTTTTTTTTACTAAGTGTTCTATTTTTTGAATTACATATTGTGTGAAAGTACCTTAACTAAATTTTCATCAAACGCCTATTTTGAAGCCCATATCTTAAATGCAGATTCCATATTCTAAACAAAGCTTACTGATGCTCATACCTAAGTTCATGCTTTTTCTATGTGGTTACTCTGTTGTCTTAGCAAAAGCAGCTGCCTCTCCATGGGGACAGTTTAGTTGGAAATTGCAGCAGAGAACATTTTTGGTCAGAGGCATGGATAACATTTTAAACTTCTCTGTAACTCTCTCCTGCTTTTTATGACATGGCTTAGTTATAGTCATGTTGATAATATCAGCTACTTTCTGAGCAGCATACTGTAGGCACTGCTATATGCTTTATACTGAAAACAGCATTTATCCTATTGATTGCATAGCTTCACCACAAGAGTAATACAAATGCAAAAGTAAAGCAGTTGCGTTCAGTAGGGCCAGGAATTAGGTATTTCTGACATTCCAGGTGTTTTTCCTTCCCAGTCAACTTTTAGACTGAATGACTTCTATCAATAAGAAACATTTTGCATTTCTCACTTGCTGTTCCAAGAGTAAAGCAGTTCACTTTTTTTTTCCCAGAAAAGGAATGAATGCATGCATCCCAATATTTACATTTTTCCTTACTGTTTTTCCATTCCCCATCCTTAACCAAGTATTCAGTAACTGTTCTAGAGGTGATCTCTCTATTCAAGAGGTCAAAGTATTTATTGCCCATTAACCCACCCAACTGGGGCACCATGCACAGTTCACAAATGAAACCTGATTTATCAGGCAGAAATTAGTTTTTCTACTGTCTTTCATGCTTAATTATCTGAGAACCTGAATGCATCTGTGAAAATCAGATCAATAGTAATGGTACTTACTAGAGACGATTAGTGTGGTTCCCATACCAAAGTATTTCGTCCAGGTGCTCCACACTGTGTTTTGGCTTTGCAATAATCTAAGGTGCTCTCTCGCTGTGCCATTGCTGAAGAAAATCCCATTTATTTCCCAATAAGTTCCAGGAGATTGTGTGAAGCCTTGGCCCTTGTCTGCTGGGAGGATATCAGGAATTTCAGACTTACACCTGGTGATCAGGCTGGTGTCTAATTCCCTTTGGAGCAAATCTCTTTCCTAAACTGTTGCAGATCTGTCAGATAACCCTTCGCCTTAACACCTAAGCATTAGGTGAAGATTCCTCTTCAATTTTAGACGCACAAATCGGTGCACAGGGTTCTGCATGTTAAAACACATACCTCCAGGTGATGATCCTGCTCTTTCCCAAAGGGATACACATCTTTTCACCTGCAAGTAAGTGACATCAAGTACTAGTAGCGTGGAGTTCATTTTCAGTTGTCTTAATACAATTCAGCAGAGGGAAAGGAGGGAGATCCAGCACCATAAGATTCACCAAGGTGTCCATGTGCTGCAGGTTGCTCACTGGTAACTTTTATATTAGCCAGTGGCAGAAGGAGGCTTTTCCTTTGTGCACAGGTTTCTTTATAAAAGAGCCCAAGATAACATCAGAGGAGTCACCACTACTGGTGATCGAAGAGCCTGCGTGCTTAGTTTGTGAGTTTGAATTCTTCTGGGATCCCATGTGGCGTACTGACTGCAAAACAACGTTAAGAAGTGTGGTTAGAGGGAGGAGCAAGGCTGAGGGTGTATGTATAGCAAAAGCACTCACCTACTCTGAAAGCTCCTGGGCAGCAGCAACATATTCTGCAACCACGAAAGAATGGCAGGAGTGATGTAGACAGAGAATGGTGACAACCAGCGCTTTTCCTTCCTTTCCATGGTGTTTTGCAATGTCCTTAGACCATCTCACCTGCAGCTGGTGGGACTGTTGGGTTATATTCATGACAGTGAGTATTAGGGAGGTCTCATTAGAAGAAAAATAGCAAAACACTACATATTGCAGACAGCTTTTCTAAGTCGCCTATATGACCTGGGCTTGCATGTATGAGGAGGACAACGCTAACCTTATAGCCATTTGGAAATCTAATACATGTTTGAAATTGTGGCATTTTTTCATCCTATCAGACTAATATTCTTTAATGAGTTACACTTCAATGAACCAAGTGAGGAGAGTATCAGGGTACCACAGTAAAGGAAAATATTAAGGAGAGGCTTGATGGTAGAGGAAAACCTTTGTGGATTAATTTCTCAGGCATTAGGGTCAGTATGGACCTTGAGGCAGTTGCTAGGAGGAATGCATTGCATATGAGCCGTAAGTATGAAAAGTTGTTCTTAACTATGGAAAGTTCTTTAGTACTACTTTTGGTAACTGTCTTCAACTTGTTGGGTGATTCAGATGCAGTGCTAGTGAAATATGAACAGTGATAAGCAAGAAGATTGGAAAAGGGGATGATTCAGCTCAAAACAAAACAAGAACAAAAATGCTCACCTCCAGATCTCAGGAGGAAAAAACAGAAAATCTTCCTCTGACAACTACTAAGCTTTAAGTGAAAATAACACTCCTTTTCCTTTACTTAAAATCTTACGAACCTTCAGGCCAAAGCTATTTCAATTTTCTTTGCCAGGGTAAAGACTTTGAAGACCTCCTGTACCACATACTGACCTATTTCCAGGAACGACAACATGGAAACATGCTCCCTTTCCACTAAATAGGTCCTTACAACCTTGCAAATGAACTTGATGACATACTTGAGCAGAAAGGAGCACCTGGAATGGAGAGGAAGGGTAAGGTGTGGGACCTTCACTGTTCCCTTTGCACTACTCACTTGCTCAGTCAAAACCTCTGGCTTTTGGCAGCTGATGATTCCAAGGCAGCAGTGGGCACTGAGCATACCCTGCTTCACCAGTGCCCGTGCTTGAGGCCAGACGGCTTATCCACGCCAATAGAAGTGAGTGCTTGGCAGTGCTAGGTGGTAGCAAGCATATAATTCCCAAAACCAAGGTACAATTCTTAGGCATGTTACCTTTCTTTTAATGACTTCTATTTCCTAGGGGAGAGCAGCGGCTGCACTAGAAAATCAGTGCAATGTTTGCTCTCCTCAAGAGCCACCAGGCTTCTGCCATGGCTGTGCAAACAGCACCAGAGAAGCAGGTTAGTTTCTAGTATTTATGTACTAAGTCTTAAGGCACTGAACACTTCCTTTGCCCTTAAGGTAGCAGATGTGTGTTTGAAGACCAGGGTGCATGTGACAACCCAGACTTTGGAAAGGACAGCTGTGGGGGCTTAGCTGCTCCTTTTGGATAGCAGAAAAAGATGTGGCCTTTCAGCAGCTCATATCAGATGGAGTGAGAAGACCAGGTGTAGCGCCTCATCCTCTGGGCTGCTCCATGATCTCAGGAATGCCTGTCAGGCCTTGGTCTTTGTGTAATGAGTCAGGTAGTGAAGCATCCCTTGTCCATACCAGGAACACTGCATGACTAAGGAGGGAGGTGCTGATTGTAGCAGGGAGTCCTGTTGTCTGGCGAAGGTGAGAAGCAAGGGCAGGGGTAGTCAGCCATTCCCTGACAGCCCTGGAACGCTCCTTCCCTTGACCAGAGCCTGAGTGGAGCAGTACAACTGGAGTTTTGAAAACTTCCTAGTTATTACTTACTGGTAACGATGGATATTTGCTAATGACTAATTCAGATCCTTCCACCCTATAAACAGTGGTCCCAAGTGAGTTCCTTTGAGTTCTCCTGGACTGCAGCAGCGAATGGAACACCCCTTGGGGCTCACAAATTCAGTTTGTGATACCTGAAGGACCACCACTGAAAGCTGTTGGTGGGATCTGGGCCTCCTCGAGGCTCAGCCCTCACCTGCTGAGAAATGCCAAGACATCTGACAGGAACATTTCCCTGAGCCCCAGGGGACTTGTTAACAGGCACCTTTATATATCCATGTGTGCGCGTGTGAGTATAAATTGATATAGGAAATGCTGTCAGTCCTATTGTCTCCCTTACCCTTTTGTGCCTTTGGTCTCGTCTTAATCCTTTCAGCTTGCTTTTACCTCAATCTTCCTTTGCACGTTTCAGCCATGAGGCAAGTAATAGAGTGAACCTTGCCATCAGACTGTGAAGTCACACTTTATAAATGCACAGTAGAACTGCTTTTGCTGATACCTTTGATGGTGATTCTTTGAGCAACCATAAACCCCTCATTTCGTGACACCTGTAGTTCAGCTGTTGAGGGCTTTTTGCTGTGATGATCTTTGAGTTTCTGTCATGGTGAGCGTCCCAGTAAGCGCAGTAGTAAATAGCGGCGTCATCTGGAATCACATCTTTAATTGTAAGAATATATCGTTTCTGCCTAGAAACTTTTTCGACCATGTACCTTTTTGCTAGAAAGCCAGTTTCAACTACAAGTTTTCCTTCTGAGAAGTGCAGGACCCTCTCTGGAGCTCTACCCTCTTTCTGTTGATACCAGTGTATGGATAGGCTTTCAAACATTTCCTGCAAAATTTTGATTTCACATGTCATTCTTGCACTTCTTTGGGACTTGGTAATGGATATAGGGCTCTGCACAGGATATATTTGTGCAAATCCATCTAGGAAAGAGAGGAGAAATGATGCCATTAGCTGGAATTCAGAGGTGTGGGGAAGATGCCTGTTAGCACAGCCATGGATACCTATGAGGAAAGATAAGGGAATGAAGAAGGACTTACAAGACCAGGAGGCTGTGGCCACAAGTGCTGCCAGCAGCAGCATGTTTGCTTGTCAGGCTCTGCTGTTGTTGAGAGTCAGAGGAGGACGAAAGGGAGCCCAGATGGGGACCGTCTTCTGTGGGAGGAGGAGGTGACTCTTGAGCGCTCTTCAGCAACAGGTCTTCTGCGTGCGAGTGGATGGGGCACGTTTACCAATAACCCTCCCCAGGCTGGTGAATGGTAACATTGGTTTGAAGGCTGTCGTCCTGTCTGCTTTTCAGGTAAATCTGAGAAACGCTGGTCAATCTGATGACTGTGGCCCTGTAAGACTTGAGCCACCTTAGCCATCCAGCCTTGGGATGGCAAAGCGCCAGGGAGCCCCCATGTTGGTGCTGCCCTCCACCGAAGCAGCCAGAGGCTGTCAGCCTGCAGGGACCAGGGCAGCTGCTCCTGGGGCCAGGACTTTGGTTGTGGGTGCAGGAGGAAACGCGCAGCCGCAGGATGCCAGTTTCAAAGCTCAGCTGGGATGAAAACATTTCTGAGAAAGGAAGGCTGGAAAACAAAAGCAGGGCTGCTGGCAACAGCCATTGCGCAGGGCATCTCGGGGAGCAGGGGTGGTGCCACACTGAGCTCCCCCGTGATCGCTGTGAGGGAGAGGAGCTGCTTCAGCCTCCCTCCTGCTGGCAGCTGGCCACATGCAGGAAGCCAGCAATAAGCATGTATTGCTAACTGGCTTGGAAAGGTGCTCTTGAGCACAGGGCTCTAGGGAGAGACAGCTCCCTGTGTGTGGTGGCAATGGACAGGGTCCCTCTCTTCCCAGTAAATAACCATGAGAAAGTCTGTTTCATTTTCTGTCAGGCTACCCTGAGGGCAACGAGGAGAAATGAGTTGAGGACTGGCAGGCACAACAAAGTGGAGAGGAAGAGACAACAATGATACAGACTTTAAGGTGAGGGAAGGGAGGTACAGGGAAAGTTCACTCATCCCAGCAGCATCCCATGTCAGTCTGCTGTGAGGGCAACTGTAGTTAATCAGAGTGAAAACTGCGTTGGCAATTGTATGTTGAGGACATGAAATCAAACCCTGTTGCCAAAATCTACCAGGACCTGTATAAAAACTGTGCACTATGTAGCTCTTCTTCTGATCACACAGCAGAAATCTGTCTAGCACCTGATACCAGATCAAGAGTAAAGGAATATGGTGGTGAGTGGGTCTCACAAAATTAAAGGTCTAAATTACAGACACTTTGTAGGTTTTGTACTGTAGCTTTCTACCACCGCAGGTCTCCTAGTAGGAATAATTGCAGATCAGACTTGATGGTGTCTATGCCAAGAGGACACATGTCCACATGTGCAGTGGCCAGAGTATTTTGGACAAAACACCTTTCCAGGTTCAAATTTTCACCAAACGGACTTCTCATGTATTAAATGGCCAACATCCCCTTTCAGAGAGCTTCATTACCTAAAGTTATCTAAATAGCTTCTCCTTCTTAAATCCCTGCTGACTGCTCCTGATCACCTTCTTTACTCTTGTGTCTGTACATGGCTTCTAGAACTGGGAGGCGGAACTCTTCTTGAGCTTGGATGAGATTCTTGAATGTCAGTCTTTGTAGGGCTTTGTAGTGGCCGCAATGCAGAGCAAGACAAAAAACAAAGTAGGATGTGCAAGATCACCCAGTCTCATTTCTATTCCTATCCTTTTATGAAGAGAAAGCAATGAGGGGATGGAGATTTGTTTCTCTGCTTGCTCCAAGGATTCTAATAGAGAAGAGAAAATTACAGCCGACAGTTGTTCACACACACAGACAGTCCATGTGCATAGTCAGGTGAGTGCTTTCAGTACAATCAAGCCTTCATTTTAAGAGCAATGTTTCCTGTATTTACCCTAAAGTGATGGAACTCTCCAGTTTCTGGATGTTACAAATAGGTGTGAGTACTGAAATGATTTACTTACTGATTGCTAACATCACATATTTAACAGTTGCCACAAGCTATTGTTGCTTTGCATATCCTGCTGCAGAAAATCAGGAGAGAGGGCTGGAATAGGCAAGTATTTTTTGCAGAGTTCAGAGCTTGCAGTTCAAACCACAAAGCACCTTTTTTGTACAGCTTATCTTTGCCCAGCTAGTGCTGTGATGTATCGTAATACCAATATGCACAGTAGTAAGTACCAGAATCCCTTGGAGTCAAATCATTTATCGTGAGATTATAATGATACTTAGGATGCACCTGAACTTGAAATCTCCTCCTGTTGCCACTGTCATCAAAAGTAGCTGTCTGTCCCCACACATACAGTATCCTCGTTGGTGGCTGTCCAGGAAGATGCTTGTACCAATGCATGATGACTTCAGCTTGCAATTGGCACAAAATGCTGGTGGATGTGCCCTGCATCTGCGTTTGGAGCTTTGGGGTTTGCACTGGCACTGTCCATGTGTCTCCACCTGGAAGGAGAAACAGAGAAATGGTGTGAGGGGAAGAAACTTCTGGAGTTTGGAGCCAGGAGAGTGTTCTCCATGCATGGGAAGGATGGGGGAGAGGAATAAAGGGCTTACGGGACCAAAATGAAGCTGCAAGAAAGAGTGGAAGCAGCAACATGCTGCCTTAGCAGGTTAAACTTGGGAGTGAAATAAAGACAGAAGGTTCTAAAGCCCTTCAAGTGGAGAAAGCATCGAACAGCTGGGAGGAGGAAATGACTCATTCAGCACATCCAATGTTTGTTCTTCAACTCGCTGCTATAGAGGCGGTTGAATTTACTGGCAAATTAAACCGCAGCAGTAACAGTGTAGAAAGGACCTTAAAAAAATTCATCAAAAATAAGCTTTCTTCATGAAAAATTCATGTATAATTTTCTTTCTACATGATTCTATCCAGTACATTCCTCTCAGACTTACCTGCTGAGCACACACATAAAAACTCAAATTGTTCAGCCCAGCTCTTCCCAAGGATGTTCTTCTCCCCTTGAATACTCTAAAGCTGTCCCAGAAGCCTTTCCTAGAATACTCTGCCTGCTTTGGTAACATTTTTGGTACCTCAGGGAAGTATCTGTATTATGCAAAGTTGATTTGTGTTACTGTACAATTCAGCTGTAGTACCATCACCCTAAGGAGAGCTCCTTTTCCCCAGCACAGAACATGATGCCAGCTGAGCTGTAGCACGCTGCATTTCTTTGCTTTTCTCTTTGTCCTTTACTTGTACTTACACACTCAGCATAAACCTGTTGGGATGCTTTAGAGGCAGGAAGGTGCAGGTGTGGCTCTCTGCACTTGACAGCCTGCCACTTGGGGTACAGCTTTGTGTACAGGCTACCTGAGGTTTGCTAGTTCTGTGGTCCTGCCAGTAGGCACAGTAGTAGGTGCCTTCATCGTTGGGGTTGATGTAATTGATGGTGAAAGTGCAGATGTTTGGGCTTTTTTTCGAAGAGGAATACTTGTTCTTATAGGAATCATTCTCATAATGAATTTGACCTGTTTGGATAAGCAGAATCCATTCGGGAGGTCTGGAGGGTAGATGCCGGTACCAATGTACATAGAGAGTCTGGAAGTCAGCCCCTGACATGCCCTCAAATACACACTCAATCTGTGCAGTTTTAGTTGGCTCTCTGGTAATGGATGCTTGTCTCTGCCTCAGAAACACTTGTGCTTGCCCATCTAGAAAGGAGGAGAGAAAAGAGAACAAACACTCTTAGCCTGCTGTTTGCTCACAGGCATCAATACGGGTGCCTCTCACCACTGCCATGTGCCGTGGCGACAAGGGGAACCTACGAGACCAGGCTGCAGCCAGGGCCAGGAGTGGGAGCAGCAGCATCCTGAGGGCTCTCATCAGCGTCTGCCTCCCAGAGGAAGAGGAAGCTGACAGCTCTCCCAGCAGGGACAAGGGGCTGCACCGAGGAGAGGAAATGACTCATCTGGGCATCATCCGCAGAGGCAGCGCTGGCAGTGGGCGGGTGATGTGGAGGTAAAGCCGCTTGACTGAACCCTGCTGAATTTTAACAGCCTAATGAGTGCTTGTGGCCAGGTGGCACAAACTCACCTCCTCCCTCTCATGCACACAGACACAGTTACTGTAACTGGTTTACAAAGTAATTTTGTAATCTAAAGTAATTTTGTAATCTGAAGTAATTTTACCGCTGCTTTTGCACTATTTGAAGCTGCTAAACAATGCCTGGGGTCAGACACTTTTTTCTCAGGTCCCCTACCAGTAAAAAGGGAGAAAAAATAGGAAAACGGAGCTTGATGAATTTGAAAGGACTCAAATTGCTGCTCATCACACAGCCTGAGTGCCAAAGGCCAGGAAGAATACCCAGCAGCCACTTGGGAGCTCAGTGGTAGTACTGCTGTACTAGCAACTGCATCTTGTCACAGGGAAGGTGAGATGCCGCACCCCAGGGTGGCCTCTCCAAACGCTGGGTGCTATGCAAAGGTTAAACACAATTTTCTGTTGGCAGAATGGAAGTGTAAATATCTGTGCTCTTTGCTTTGCAGGTTTGCTGCCGTGTAAGACAAGAAGCCCCACACAAGTGAATTCAGAGACTTGGTTTAACTTAAGTGAAGGTTTGATCAACTCCAAACAGCAACCAAGGAGAAAATAAAACAAGAATCTCTACCAGCAGAGAAGTGCAAAGTGAGTCTGTTACACCTGCAGTCTTGAACCATGCTTCAAGCTTTTCTTCACTTCTCTCCTACTATTCTGCTGTGCAAGTGATGTAAGTGGATCTTTATTCTAAAGATGTAGCTTGAAGGGTAGTGTGAAGATTTTTTTCTTTTGGATAACCTCACCTGCCATCCTGTAAACCTACACAGTGGCAATTCAGCCAGACCTATGACCATGCCCTTTTTGCTGTTAAAGTGCTATAACAGCTTGGCTGGTGCTGGCTGTAGCGCGTGTCTGCAAAGCGTGCGCTGGCTAGGAAGCAACTTTGGTATTTGGCTGCGTGCACAGGGTGTCGGATCCAAAGCTGATGGGGAAAGTAGGTGGGGATATTCCTGTGTGTTGTCAAACACTCAGGATCCAGTTCAGAAAGCAGAGTGTGTCTTTGTGCAGGCCCCTATAGCTTTCTACAGCAATGTATCCCCACTAGTACAGCAGGAGGTCACAGCATCTTGCGGAGTCACTTTGCTCACTGTTAGCATGCAAATGGCTTTGGTGGGGTCTTTCTCAATGCTGAACTTGCCCTCTTCGGCCTGGTTTTTGAGGAAGAACCTGGAGGACATGTAAGCAAGGTGCTGGGAAGCTGTGTGGGGCCTCTCTCAGTACCAGTGAATGAGCACAGAGTGGGGGATGTGACAGTTGATGAGCACCATTCTGTGTTCTGCCTTAGTGATGGGTATGGGGCTTTGCTGCACGACTCCTGCTGAGCTGCCTGTGTGAGAGGAAGAGAAAAGTCAGAGGTGTGGAGCTGAGCTAAGAGCGTGTCCCCTTGGCCACAGGCAGACACACAGACCCAGGAGTACAACTCAAACAAGCAGCCAGGATGAAAGTGCTCAACAGCCACATTGTCACTGCCCTTCTAAGGGCTTCCTTACCGGACAGGGTCAGACTCAAATTGGGGGCCAAGGAGTTCTGAGGAGCAGAAAATCCATTCCATGAGGCTGTGCCAGCTGTGGGTATGTTAAATAATGCTGCATTATTTCCCATTTCCTTTGGTTAACACTTACAGAAATCGCAAAAAAAAAAAATAAATCCAAAACTGGAACCCACCCTCTCGAGCACAGAGCTCACTACTGAGGCAAACCTTTTTCTTTCTTGATTTACCCCAAGGGATTTCCTTAGGTGATGTCACTCGTAGTGAAGAGTCATCAAAACTAAAAGATGTTCTGTTTTTTATAATAGGAACAACCCCCCAACCATGAGACTCAGTTCTGATGCATTTAACTGACTTTTCTCTACAGAACAGCATGAAGATCTTTCTGTTTTCTGGAAGACAATTTGAGAGGAGACAACAATCAAGCTGAAGTTATTGCAGAAGAGAACCCCCTACAGCTCTCATGGTGCAACTGACAGCTCGTATGTAAGGATCTACATTAGAGAACTTGTGATGAAGTCTAGCACTAGGTCTGGAAGGAAAGGTTGGTACATTGAACTATTGATTTCTTTTGCCACACACTTTCTCTCCTTCCTCTGCTGCCCTTGTGTCCTTCCTCTGCCATTCTCTCCATCTTCTGCCCTTCTCTCCATTTTCTACCCACATCTCTTTCTTCCACTCTTCTCATTTTTCTTTCCTTCTGCTGATTTTCTCCTCTTTTTGCCCTTTTCCTTTTGTCCTACACCGCTTTCTTGCCATCTTCAGTCCTTCTTGTGCATTCTGCCCTACTTGTATTTTTCTTCTCTTTAACAACTTCTCCTGCCTTTCTCTTCCTTCTGCCCCCATCTCATCCTTCTGCCCCTGTCTCCTTAGTCTGCAGCCTGGCAAAGGTAAGTCACAGGTACACAAAGCAGCAACAGGAAGACAGGCCAAGCTGTCCGTGTCTCCTGAAGAGGGGGAATGTGAGGGATCAGACTCTGAGCTTGCACTGGGTAATGAAGCCAGGGAGAGCCAGGGCATGAATGGTACCTTGGAGGTGCAGTGAGCAAGAGACTAGCCCAAAGGGCCCTGAGGAGCCCTAAACAAGGGGTTACAGAGGACAAGTAGCAACCCCTGTGGTCTGCTGTTGGGAGTCTAGAAAACTTCCTCCCCCTTGCCCTGTCATGCTGCTCAGTGGAAAAAAGCCTTCCTCCTGCCAGGCCTCTATTGGAGGAAGGACTTTCAGGACTTTTGCATTTGTTGACCCTCTTCACCAGATGCAGGTCTCACTGGCTCCTGAAGAGTGTATCTATCTGGTGGTTTACATGCTACTTTGTTCTCAGCACTGCATTTACAGTGCCTGTGGTGGGACAGAAGGCTTGCATACTCAGAGGGGGACTTTTACTACTGGCTGGGCATTTTCTTTTCACTCAGATTTTCCTTAACTGCTATTAAGCACCTGCATATGCAACACAATTCTCTTTGGAATGATTTCAGCTTTGCCAAATCAATCTTAGTTATAAGGTCCTGTCTGTTACAGGAGACACCATTTGGAAAGCACTACAGTTTTCCCTATGTGAAGCTTCTGTGGTGATTAAACAGGTCAGAGTGAAGACACCCACGCAAGAGAAACACAGATGCTGCCAGAGATATGCTACACACAAGGGGAGCATCAGAGCTGAAATCACATGGATGAAGACTAAGAGAGGAGTCTTCAGAAGGTAATTATCTTATACATAATATTATGCATTTAGCAAGGTGTATGAATGTATGCATCCATGTAGTCCACTTCATAGTCTCACCTGATTGCTTGCATCACATCCACTGCAGTCCCCTTGTCTGCAGTGAACATCTCACCACCAGAGAGCACATCAGAGCTGACAGTGGCACTGATAATTACAGCACTTCACACTCTGCTGTGCTGATTTCAGAGATATGGCTTCATTAGCTGAACTAACTTCTTTCTGTAGCTGGGAACTGGCTTATCAGGTGGTGCTTCATCAACTGTCACCTTAGTGCTTTAAACACAAAAAGAGAGATCTTTTAAATTACATCTGTTTTAAAAGTACCAGTAAAATCTGATTTCATCCTTCAAGCAGCATGGTTCTTCCATCTTCTACTGCTCTAATACTCACTCATGCTCTGCTTGCACATGGGTATGCAAGAGGGGACAGTCTTGTAAACTGTTTCCCACCCTATCCACCTAACCTACCCATCATGGTGACTTCCTTTTGATGCCTTTTCCCCTGTGTCAGAAAGACACTAAGGAATTTTCATTAAGCATGAGCTTAAAGAGACTATGATTTATTTCATGTCTAGGGCACCAGTAATCAGAGCATCCTGGAAGCAAATGCTACACAATCTGAGCAGGACCATACCCAGCCAGCCTTGCCTCCCTCTTCTTGCAGCAGGTCCAGCTGTGAGGTCTGGAAAAGGTAGAGCAAGGTGTGGAGAGGAGCAGGAAGAGGAGAAAAGGGACAGAAATGTCATTCAGCTTATACATTTCTCATTATTCATACCACCACCAGATAGATGAGCTGCAAAGACACAGTATATTCACTCACTCACATGAGATGTTCGTCCATCTTCAGTTATTTTGTTGTACTTCCAAGGCCAGACTGTGCATGATCAGCAGACTGGGTCGCTAAATCTTTGAAGGTTAGTGGTGTCTTAGGCATAAGTAAGTCTTTACAGCCACCAAGATACAGTGTGTTATTGTTTTACAAGCACTCTGAAAACATTAAATTCAATAATTTGCCAAATCCATTAGGTGTGTTAATGAGAAGAATCCAAGAAAAGGGAGAAATGATTCTGAGCTAATGGAACTTGATGGGTGAGGGTCCCACCAGTATGTAACAGCAGTACGTATTGGAAAGGATTTTCTTTTCTTGCCCTAGAATAGGCGTTATAGATCACAGAGAAATACAATTATTTTATACTATTAATCTCAGGAGCTGCAGGTGGTAAAAGTGGCTGAGACAGGTCTGATTGTCTAACAAATAAAACTAGCATTAAAGCAAAGATGAGATACAGTTGTTAACCCAAAATGAGAAATACATTTCTATTCATGAACTCCTTCTGTTAGAAGGGAAAACTGAACAGCAAATCAAAGTGCTTTCCTGCAACCTCTTTGGACTCTGATTGCTCACTGTGACGTTTCAGAGCCAAAACCCCAGCTATCACAGTTTCATCATTCAGCTTCTCCACAAAACACAGCTATTGTCAGACTTGCTTTTTAAAGCTACTGTATTCCGAAAAAAACAGAGAAACCAACTTTCCTCCTCTTCCACGGCAACAAAAAAATCTGTTTCTTCAACTGAAATCTGAAAAATTAATTAGAAATAGAGCAGAAACAGATACCATTTGCACCAAAACACGCTCCCAACCAAAAATATCATGAAAAAGAACTGAATTGCTAGTAAAATACAGATGTTCCTAAAGCTTTGCTTCTTCCATGCGTCAGCAAGCACAACAGAGCAGATTCCTAGAGAACCTTCTTTCCACACAAAATCAATGGATTAAAAAGAAATTACTAAGAGGTAGCAATCTGTGGTCAAGCAGAGACGATCCCTTGGTGCTTGTGGACGGATATTAGCTGGTGGTCAGAGTCTGGAACAGGAGGAGCAGCTAGGAGATGTGCTGAGCTGGGGTTCAGACCTTTTGGATCTCTGGCCCATGACTAGAGTTGAGAGCAAGAGTTTAAATGATGCATCTGTTATGCCATGCTTCTTTGGAAAAAGAGGTATTAAATTCAGGTTAGGCTCTCTAATACAACATATAGACTATAGAACTTCCGTGTTACAAAACTTCAAAAGCACGACAGATTCTTTGGATCAAAGGTTTATTTTTAATGACACAGCACTGGAAAACATAAGTTACAGATGACTTTTTGATACAGGATACATTATATATATTAAAAGGATCTGTGAAGGTATGCTGCATAAATACATATAGTGAAAATATATTGTGTTTATTTCTTCTTAGAGATTAGATCTGTTTCTTTGTTTTCAATCGATTCAGCCAATTAAATAAAAAAGTATAGATTAGCGTCATAACAGCTCCCCTCCACATTATCTCCTTGTAGCTACTGCAGCTGGAGGAGGAGACCGAGCCATGCCTTCTCAAAGGTTTAGCAGCTTTGAACATGATGTTATTCATCATCTCAGAATGAAAATTTCACATTACAAACACAGATACTGTATCATGTTTTGGCAATGGAGCAGCTAGTTTTGTTCTGGAACAAAACCATTTCCTGTAATGCCAGACAGTGAAAGAGCAATGCATGTACTGGTGATACTACACAGCCAAAGAACTACGATGAAGTTGTGAAAATGCATATATATCTATATGCACTTATATATACACATATAAGTTCTTGTGTGTATATATATTATGCATGTCCAAAAATAACATTGAAAAACGTTGCAGCGGTTGATTATTCTTGTCAACACATGAAACTTATAATAGTTTGACCTCATTACTACAGGATAACTAATTAAATCTTCTGCAGTGCAACTCAATACAATACACTTAGTGCAGAGAAGTTAAGGTTTTGGTATTGAGGAAGCTAATTTCAGATTTCATGGGAAAGGACCAAATACAGGATCACCATAGCTCTGACAACGCACAAACAAACCTGTTGCCACGTACGTGTGAACAAACGACATCGGTTTTTTTATTTGAGTTTTCTGGTTTTCGGGTACTGCTTCACTGAACTGTTTGCATTCATGCTCATTTCGATATGTTTCAACAAGCTTTGTCTGGCACCAGTCTGTAAACCGTTCACAGCTCAAACTACAAAAGGTGGGCTCCTGTGTTTCAAAGAGGTTAAAAACCTACTGACTGAGCTTCATACCACGTTCGGCTGCCGGCACGGAGAACTATTCCAGATGGCGTGTGAAGTTCTCTGGGAAAAGTCCTTTATAGCTATTTGCATCCCTGTACTGAAGCCACTCGGATTCCTTAATGCCTGTCAACCAGCCAGCCTCCTGCAAGGAAAAAGACAGTCTCTTAAACTTCATATCTCCCTGATTCCCTGCTATGAGCTTCAGACCTGAGGATGCTTCAGTCACATGGCTAAAAGATTTGGTACTCTGGTTAAAAAGCAGCCTCTGATGTTTCACAGACTGTTTTCTCTGTTCTGCCAGACCACAGTTCCATGAGACCGAGTGACTGCAAGTATATTGTATGGCCTTTACCCCATGTAACTGAACTCAAAATTGGATAATCAGACTTCCAGGCCATCCAGTATTACACCAGATCTGCATCTGTGCCAATCTGTTTCAAAGTTGCCACAATAATATTGCCACAGTTGTGCAGTAAGAGCACAGCAGCAGGCCAGAGACATTGCACAATACCATAGATGGGGAAAAAGGTAGTTTTCAATTGGTTTCTTTTTTCCCCTGAGAGTTATTTTCTTTTGTTCATGTATTGGCAGTCAGAAGAAATAACAGTTCTTGCAATCGCCAGAATTACTCTCTCTAGAAACTCAAACTTAGTTAATATGCAGTTACTTTTCCTGTAATTCCTGGAAACTTAAACCAGAACTTGACATGTAAAATTGCAAACAAATCACCAGCAGTGCAAGCAATCGAAAGGGAGATTTCTTATTGGAAAGGGTTGTGATCAATTCTGCCTGGAATAAAATCAACTCAGTAGTTTTAACAATGCTCGACCTATCCTCATCTCACTAACTCAGTCACTCCATGCCTTGTCTAAGAACAGGAGCCGGAGCAAAGCCGTGACAAGCAGGATTTCTAATACTGCCGTATGTATTATTGCAGAAAGAGGACACAAGGAGATAGCGTAGCTTGGACACACCTTCACATACACCATCGAGTCACGATTGCTCAGCAGCTGCATGGGGGGGTGAAGTGGCTCTCTGCCCAAAAATAAGCACCATTAGAGCAGATACAGTACGGCACTGGCTGGGTACATGCAACCAGGGACATGTTTTTGAAGCATGTGGAATAGCTGAGAGAGAAGACAGCGGAACTGCAGCTTTCTGCCACAGGCAGCCTGGGTTGTATGGGGGAATAGTTTTACTGGATAAAATCTTCAACTCAGGGCTAATGGAAAAGCCACTGGGTGGGACTGGTTTGCTTTGAATAGAGGACACAAGCTGTTGTTACCAGCTATATTAAAAATATGGCTTTAGACAGGTCAGTTTTGAAGGAGAAGAATAACAAAGATAAGAAGACTGTATAAATCAGCAAGGTACCTAGCAAAAGACAAAAAGATTAAGCTATATAGTGATGTTAAACATGAAGGGCAAATATGTACTGAGTAATAAAGATATGACCAGCATAGTTTCAGAAACGTGAATACATAAAGGTTTATTTTCTCCATCACTGCACACAATTTACTCCAATTAATGCTAACGGCATTTTGATGCACACAAGAATGTACCTCATGGATTCACCAAGTGAAGATTAAGCATATTTAATACATAACATCCTAAGTAAAACAGACTGAAAACAGAGAGCACATTTTGCTATCCTTACAGCAGTCTTCTATTCTGCAAATATTGCTATTGAAATCACTTGACCTGCCCATGAGGTAAGATGCAGCATAATTTGAGTAAGGATAAAAGAATCTATTCCTATAAAAAGAGCAAAGTGCCCTGCTGAAAGAAGCATCTTTTGTTCTGAAACAGAAAAAAACAACAGACACAAAACCTCATTACTTGTCTCTTGTATTCAAAGAGAGCTCAGCTGAGATGATGAACACTGGTTATTACCTCCCTTTAGGCAGCATCCACCACTACAACAATTTCAAGCACAGCCCCCAGCACTCATATGCGCTTAGGGCATTAATATTTAGACCTATTTTAAGAAGTATTCTTCACTGAGAGCAGTGCTCTTAGGCTACCTGAATAGGCAGGATCCAGATCCCCACTTCTCAACCCCCAAATAAATGGGACACTTTCACCAATGCTGCTGGCACTAATAGATGCCCACGTAAGTGGCAGGTACTAACTGTGCAGCACAGTCTTCTCTTTTAAAGCAGTGGCCAAAAATCAATTCACTTCAGTGCAATTCAATTTCACATATGGAATAAAACTGTTTAAAACTCAAATGAAACACACTGTTAAAACAAAATTAGATCTCTTAAATGAAATTAAACTGTAGTTGAATTCAGGTTCCAGCTTCCAGAGGGCAGAGTTAGCTTTAGACTCATGCAGCTCTGTGCACTTTGGCTGTAGGACAACACAATTTGTGTGCAGTCTCAGTGTTCTCTGTGGGAGAATTTGTATCATTTCTCCAAATCTATACATAAAAGCTCTGAACATCTAGGGACCATGGAATCGATTTTACTGCAGCGATAAGACAAGTTGATATATAGCAACATTATGCACAATTTGTAAGTCATTTTCTGTATTAAGTCTTTGTGTGCCTGTATTAAATCCACTACAAAGTAGCATAAAAAAGCCCTAATAAAAAAGCTGAGGTTGGAGCCTGCTAGTGGAGCTCATCTGGGACTTAAGCTTGTAGCCAACTGTGCCATTTAGTCGCAAAACCCAGTCCAAAGACAAAAATCTTTGTGATTTCTGACAGTAGTGACATGTTGAATACACATTCCCATTAACTATACTCTGTAAGAAAACCAGTAAGACAAAGATAAATGTTAACAAAAGAAAGATACTTGTTTTTACCTGATCAGCTGTGGTCTCAGAAGGAATTACTAGTACAATATCTCCCCGTTTTAAATTAAGCTCATCACTGTTAGCTGCCTCAAAATCATGTAGGACTTCAACCTGAAGAAAATAACATCAAACATGTGATGTGATCAAAATGGAGACATTTTCTTAAAAAGATTATGTTAAATCTTTAAAAAAAACAAAGAACCCCAAAAGAATATCGTGCTGCCTTTGTGCAAGCATATGGGTATAGACAGGAACATTCGAATCAACAAAGTTGAGACTGATTTGTATCACAGTTTTCTATTCATTTCCTTGAAAGCAGGAACAGCTTAAGTAAGTCTTCTTGAGGCTACTTAAGGAAACCCAAGATCCCGCCCCAGTATCTCAAGGACAGATGATATTATAACACCCCATGAGTCCTGCCTCTTAGACAAGTTGTGCCACCCTTACTCCTGTGTGAGGAACTTGCTTTCATTCCCAATGAGAGATGGGTAGCAGGATTTGGAAATGAATGTGGGAAAGACTTCCAGGAACTGCTATTTCAGATTCCCATTCTCTTGCTGTGGCCACTGGATGTTATTCTTGCTGCAAACGTCCATGGAAATTTATGTGGGATGTACAGCACCCATTTCAACATGTGATCAAAGAGGCGAGTAATGGGAATCCTATTTAATGCTTGCCCTGGAGAGAGCTCCCATTTACTGGCAGACGGGCTTGCCAAAAATACCTGTCTTTCAAAGGCGTGATTATTAAAACATTGGCAGGATCAGCATGTCATTGTGAACAGACCATTTTAACTAAATGGCTCTACCTCCTTAAGAGATGTGCTATTCTAGTTTTCTCCAAAGCACAGCCAGTGCCATGGTAGCTCTGAAATAATGAAAGAAAATGGCATCAAGAGCCAGATGGTTGGCATCCATTCTGCTTCTCTTTACTTATGTCTGACCCAAGAGAGTGATGAAAAGCAAGAGATGAACTATGTCAGCATGTCCGAGTCAGAGCTGCACAATACTGCTCACCCTCACCTTAATGTTAATCTCTAAATTTGCTGAAAATACTGAGCAATGAGAATAGACCAAGAGGAATGAAATACTTATGGAGTGCTATGGGACTAATTAGTCTGAACTATGCAAATTAGAATAGGAAACATGTAAAGTTCATCCATCCTCAAGGAGCTGCTCAGTGATTCTGAAGTGAAAAGCATTATCAAAGAACCTTGTGAACCAGGAAACCCTAGGGATCTTGCCAGCCAAGGAGAGAACTTCTTATGCCTCATTAAACTTTACTGTTTGATTTCCCTAACAGTTATAACTATAATATTACTGAAGTCAGGGAATGACATTTTGGCTTTATAACCATCAACTGTAGAAGTCCCATGGGTTCAAACATAACCAGAACTTCCACTATTGATTTTCAGGCCAGAAAAATGCCAATATTTAATATTCATAGAATCACAGGATGGTTTGGGTGGGAAGGGACCTTAAAGATCAAGTATATTGTTAGCATATTAGATATATCATTGGCATCTATCATACAATATTGCTGGCTAACTCTGGCGGTCCAGTTTTACTCAGTGTATGAATTTTCAGTAGCAATTTGGTGAGATGAAGGAGTTCTTGTACTTCAGTGAGTCTTACAGCTACGTAAGGATATGCACCACAACAACAGTGTGCAGAAAACGTGTCGTCTCAGAATTCACATACAAAGCAACAATACACTATTAAAGTTGTGCCTGTGTGTATTTGTGTGTGCATGTGTCTGGCTGTTAAACTAAGCATCCTTCAGCCTCAAGAAGTCATCACACTA